CTGAATCTTAAAATAATAATAACAACAATACTCACTCCTTATTGAGCATCTCCTATGTGCCAAGTCCTTCACCGATATCTCGTTTTAATATTCCTGACAGCCCTGTCTCGTGGGTATTACTGCCACTATTTCATAGGAGATGCTGAGGCAAAGCCACCTGGGCATGATCATGTTAATTAGTAAGTAGCTGAAACAAAGCTGCGCAAATCCTGAGAAGCCCTGCCCCCAGGTAATTCAATGGCAAAAGGTAGTCCTAATTAGTAAGAATGAGAAGGGGAAAAAATGCCAACAAAGTTCAGATTTATCAATTTCTTTCCAGGAGAAAAATGTGGGTGCATACGCCTTGCTGGTGCCTGAGCACGCGTGTAGTCCGCCTGGCGGTCTCTGCAGCCGCTGCGAGCCAGGCTGGCTTGCCTCCCGCGGCCCCGCGGCTCCCAGGCTCTGCGCTCGCCTCAGTCAAGGCACAGGATGGTTACCGGGCCTCAGAGCCGCCCCAATCGGCGGCGGGTGCTCAGAGCTGCAGAGCAGTGTACTATCCAGGATCCATTTCTGTTCTCTTCAGTGGAGGCAAAATGATCCTTTCCAGGAAACAGCCGAGAATAGGCATCCTTGGGACCTCACGGCCTCCAATGCATGGAGTTAGAGGACAATCTTTGGTTTTCGTTTCTTCCCCCTATGATACTTTCTTCCTTGGAGGCCACTTGGGTCCGAGGGTGAGTAGTTTAAAGGCCCCTTTCTGGAATATCTAACAAGAAAATGACCACTATTGGTTTGGCTCTCTCTCTTTTTCTAGAGAAACTGGTCATTCTTTGTCCTTTGTGGCATAACCCTGTTTCAGATTAAAAATTAGGAAAGACAGGAGAATTCCTAGTGCTATAAAAGCCAAAGGCCTAGCTGACTTCTGCGGCTCTGCAGTTCTATGAAGTAGGTATTCTTTCCCCCATCGTGTTAAAGATGAGGAAGCTGAGGAACAGAGATATTCAACAGCTTGCCCTACAAATGTCACACAACCAGTCAGTGGCAGAGAAGGGACCGAGACCCAGGAAATCTGGCTGTAGAGTTTGTGCTCTTAAGCAAACACTATGTTTCCCTCTGGGAGTGTACAGAGGGAGAAAACGTTGTTTAGAATTAATGCAAAGAGTGTGCAGGTCCACTTCTGCCTTTTTTGGTGTTCTGAATTCAAGGACAGGAGTCACAATTTTTTGCAAAGGATCAAGGCTCAACTTTAGATCAGGGTAGCTGGGAATGGGTGGACAGGTATGTGCCCAGTAACTTTGCAAAATTACAGGGAGTGAAGGAGCACCCTCTTTGGGATGCAATTGCAAGAGGAAAAAACTTTCCTGTTCTAGGTTGACCATCCCTTACCTGACCCTTGCCCCCTCCCCCCAAACTAATCCTATCGACGAAAGATCTGAGCAGTAAGCCTGTTTAATTAGCTATGCAAACGAGCTTAGCTGCTTCCCAGTAGCTGTGGTCCAGAAAGTCCTAAGGATTCCTTCCCTCAGACATTACCAGCATCCAGATGAACCCCAAAGTTGACCCCATTCATCTGGGCATCTGTTGAGTACCTGTGATGCGTTGGGCCCTGTTGTAGATCACAAGGAAGGGCAAGATGTGGCTGTGATGGCCAGGGTATTTACAGTTCTATGGGAAACACACACACACACAACAAGGATAACTCAGGGAGGCAAGCACCCTATTAGCTTCCTTAACCAAGTGCCACAGGAACACACAGGTTACTCTCGGGAATCCAGAAATCTTCCAGGTGTGTTTTGCTGAGGGGTTACCTCAAATTTCAGAGGAAATGAAGGTGGGGGGGCTACCTACTGGTTTCTCCCAGGGGAGTGAAAAACCAAGTAGCTTGATGCTGTCTCCACCTGCTCCTCCAGCTTCCCTCAGTTTATCACCCTGGATTTGCTGGGACAGATGAATACAGACACTACTTGTCTGGAGGTGCATCCCTAGAGCCTTCCTCGGCTGAAAAAGGAGTGGGAGATCCAAGAGGCATGTTTGCCTGATTCCCCACCCCCAAACCTCAGACTCTAAAGCCCGACCTTCTTGGGTACTGCAGGAGGCCGAGGTGAGGAACAAACAGTATGAAAGCTCCCCATTCCCCAAGCCCCACTTTTTCTCCCTAAGACCAGGCTCCCTAGTCTGGGGCCTCCGGACGCTGGCTGTAATGCCTAAAGTGTGTCGCAAGGTGGCAACGTTGTGGCGAGAAAAAGACATTAAAAATCGGGATTTTTTTTTTCAAAGCATATTTTCCCTATTAATGTTTCATTTAACTTAATTAGAATCTGGTAAACTAATTAAAGTAGCTACGAGCCCCGCAATCAGCAATAATTCGTATAATTATTGATAATTACATCCATACCAATCGCTTGGTTATTAACATGTGGGGGGAACAAACCACTTCTGAAGGGAATCGGAGCCCAGGAGGGTTTTTGTGAGCTCTTTCTAGGTCGCATCCGCCTACACCTCCAATCCACAGAGAATCCGGTCCAGATGCTGCGCCCTTTCCGGCTGGCCCCAACTGCCTGCGGCGCTTTCCCCCAATTTGGGAAATTCGAAAAGGAAAGGTGGAATATTTACCAGGTTCCTCTGTGTGGGGCACAGCCAAAGAATAACTTCCTACGTAGGTAGTAAGTGTTGACCCCATTTCACAGAGAAGGAAAGTGCTGTTTCCGAAGAAGCCGTTCCGTCCAGAGGGAAAGGCGCGTGAACTCTCCCAACCCGCGCTCCTCGCCGGGTCCTAACTCCGCTCGTCCCTAGAACGCGCTAGGGACCCATGTCTCTTCCTCTCTTGGACCTCGGTTTCTGACCCGGTTGGTTCCACGCATAAAAACGTTCCCGCTCCCTGGAGGGTCCCTATGGGGGAGATCGCGCGTCTCGAGGCGAGCTCATCCCTTAGCGACACCTCATAATTTACCATTCTCTCAGTCCCCTCTGGGTCTAGCCCTCGAATGTCCCGGGACGGGAGGGCTCCGAGCCGCAGCAGCGGGTGTTCCAGGCCTGGCTTCCTGCCAAGATCGCGCGGCGGATCTCCCCTCCTGGGCCCCTCTTCCGAGGCCGTCTGCGCGCCCTAGCTCGCCAGCTCCGCCCCGGGCCCTTTGGACGACCAGCCAAGAAACTTCCCCACCAACGCAGCCGAGAAGGCTCCCGGGTCCCAGCTGCTGGCTCGGTGGGAGCACAGGACGCCCCCCTCCAGGGTCTTCACCCTGGGCGTCCAGGGACGCCCAGGGACGCGCAGTGAGAGTCCTGCGGTGTCTGAGAGCAGGTCGTCGGGGCACGCGGGTCCCGGCCGCGCAGCGCGGCTCTGCGCTCGCTTCCTCGCAGAGCGCGTTCACGCGCCGCCAGGGGCGGAAGCCTAAATAATATTTTAGAAAGAATGAGGGGCAAGACTCGGCACCACTGCTAGTCAAGTAAGGAGCGGAAATTGGAAATCAGGTCAGAATGATTCCCAGAACCGTGTATTTTCCCACTCGAACCACACTCTCCTCCCTTTTTCAAAAATCGCGCTGCCGTTTCCATCTTTTATCCGTGCCCAAGCAGCGTGTGTGCTGTGGAAACTGAGGCCGAAGGGAGGCCGGTGGCTAGGTAAGGCCTCGAAAACTGCGGCCGTCCCCCGGAACTCTAGCGGCCGGCGTATCTCACCTTCTTCCGTGGGCTCCTCGACATCCGCAAATCCGCTGGGACTAAAATGTCCGGAACGTCCAAAACCGCCAGGACTCCCCGTGGCGAGGCAGGCGGACATCTGTACAGGCCTGCGAGGCCCAGGCCCATCCCACGTATTTCGCCCCCGCCCCGCCTCAGAGCTCTAGGCCCGGGCCGACCGCGCCCGGGCCTCCTGGCAGTTCTAGTTGAACCAGGGGTTCCCGGCAGGGCGCGAACTCCGTCTCTGAGCGCCCCGGAGGAGGCTTCTGCGGTGGAGCAGGCATGGACATGGGCAGGAGTCAATTCTCAGCCCCTGCGAACGCTAGAGGGAAGACTCAGAGACATAACAGGAGTTCTCATTCCTCGCCGAGGCCCAGTGGAGGGTCCTAAATACGGGGCGGGGACGGCCTGTGGCCTATGGGGCAAGCTGGGTGTGCCCGAAGAACCAGTGGAGAGGTCGCGGTGCGCGCCGCAGCCCACCTGGTCAAACGCGGGTCTCAGCGCGGGCGCCTCAGCAACCGCGATGAGGTCCCCATGCCCCACCTGTTGCGCCCGCCTCCTCCCGGTCCCTCCCCTCGCCACACTCCCACCTCCACAGCCCCAGGAAGTGTCAGGTGGTTTTTTTTTTTTTTCTTTTTTATTAAAAACAAAACAAAACTCAGGGATCCAGGGTGATCTCCCCAATCAGGCTCAAGGTGGTCTCCATCTCGTGAGTCAGTTGTCGCCCTTTTTAAAGTGCTGTTACATCAAGAGGTCACAACAACAACAAAAAATAGACAAAGCAAAAACCCAAGAGGGAATGCAAAATGGGACTGGAAGTAGGTCCGGAAGAAGGAAGAAAAATAACTTACAACATAAATAAATAAAAAATGAACCCATTATTACTGAACCAAGAGACTCACAATACATTTATATCCATTGCACATAGCCACTTTGTCATTAGGAACAAGAGTTTCAGAAGTGGACGGGGAGGGGAGCTTGGGGCCAGCGAAATTGCTACATTGTATTCACAATTGGGGTTCAGAGGCTGTACAAGGCGGAGAAGCCCCCCTCTCCCTTTTTTTTACCCCCTTTGGTCCGTTAAGCCCATGAGACCCTATGCCCGGAGTTGAACCATGAGGCAAGGTGGTATTTACAATTGGAAACAGGCTGGGTCCTGGTCTCGGGCTCCCAGGAGGGAGCGGGCAAGGCCGAGGCGCCCGGGAGAAGGGCAGGCGGGCGGGAGGCTGTATTTACATCGGTCCGGTCCGAATGGCTTGTATCTCGCTCTCGGCCGCCGCGGCCGCGGGCATTTACAGAAAGAGAGCAGCATGGCTTGAGGGCGCGTGGGCGCGGCTGGGCCGGCCCTAGGGCAACAGAGGGGGCTTGAAGGAGCAGTTGCCAGTGCAGTGCCGGGGCGTCAGCATCTTGCAGGAGAAATGGTGCAGGGCGTCGTGGGCTTCTGGAGAGACAGTCGATTGGGCCATGTTGGGCTCCTCGCCTGTCTCGCCCACGCGGTCCATGGGCTCCCTCGCTCCCCGGTCCACCCACGTCTAACCCACCCCCTTCAGATTCAGGAGTTCTCAAGCGAGAAGATCAAAAGGTGGGAAGGTAGTAGAGACCCCGGTCATTCAGAACCACTGCTCTAGTTCAGTAGCCCCATTTTACAGAAGAGGAAACTGAGGCACAGTAAGAGGGAGATCGCTCAGCTCAAAACCAGATTTGGACCTGGTGACAGATTTCTCAATGCCCAGAGCTCAAGGGGCTCTTTCTCCCTGCCCACCATTCTAGAATGATTTCTCCATTAAAATGAATTCCCATTTCCCTCCTCTCAGTTACTTATCTCTGCAGACCTGGCTGGCCTTCCCCCTCATCATCACTCACGCATTCATTCATTCATTCATTCGCCCTCACAGCCAGTGCCTGGCACCTCTCCTTTGTTCCCCCGCTTCCGCACCTTTTAATTTCTGCTGGATGGCATAGCGTGCCTTCCGCTCCTGGTCAAGTTCGTTACAAAGAGTATCTGGAAGACAACGGAAGTAGCCGGTGAGGAAATGAGACCACCCTAGGGCCCGTTGGGGTCACAGCCCGGGCCTCACCCTCTTTTCAGCGCTCAGCCCCTGGCAGAAACAAGTCCCTGAGACCGAGGGAGGGGGCGTCAAAGCTACAAACTGCAGCTTGGCTGAGGGAGGAAATGGCCTGGGATGGCGCTTAAAGGCAGACGGATCTAACCAAAATTAAAGCAAACTTAGGCATTACTTCCCAGGTAATTTTACGCCTCGATTTTTAATTTAGAAACCATGGAAATTGCCGCGATAAGAAGTTCAATCACTCCATGTAATGATGCCTGCAAGCCGTTTGCTGGGCTCGCTTGCCATTCTGAGGCTAATCAGAGTATACAAAGGATATTAAATAAAAAAAAATAATTGTTAAATTACCTTCAATTTAAATCCAAATGACTGAGCCAACATTGCGGCTCCTGCCAGACGAGAGGCAGTTACGGCCCGTGCACGCGCTCACCTGACTCCCGTCTTACCTCTGACAATTTGCAGCTGTTGCACCATTTCTTCTCGATAAGCCAATTCCCTCTTCATTTGATCCTGAAAATTATCTGTGCAAATTGATTAAGTGAGAGCTGTTATGCACAACCCCCTCCCTCGGCCCCCTTTCCCCATTCCCCAGCCCCACCCCACCCCCTCTGTCTTTGGCCTAGCGGGAAACCCGGCTAGGAAAAGAAGGGTTCGGTGGCTCTGGCTGAATGTGAAGCAGCAGCTGCTGCCTGCACTGGGTCCCCGGTCCAGGCCAGGCGGGGCATGCGGGAAGAAGGCCCTGGCGATCAGGTGGGGTGGGTCTGAATGGGGGTACCTTTGAGACTCTGAAATTCTCGCTCCAGCTTCTTGCGGAGCTCCATTTGTTCCAGGAGCAGTTTTTGCAATTCGTCTGTGAAGGGGCAATAATGGGATGTAAAGGAGGAGGGTAGTGGGACTCAGGTGGCCTCTAAAGGCACCCAGGTCCCACTCTGGCCAGTAGCCATGAGATAGGAGTAGTGGAGGGTGAGAGCAAATGGTAGGCCCTCAACACTCAGTTTTTCCATGTGCATCCAAAGGATCTGGGCAGAAAATGGGGTTAGGGGTTTAGGTTGCCCAGGAGAATGAAATTCAGAATAGCAGAATGCTTGTTGGACTTCTAGGTCCTGGGCCCAGGTACTAACCAGCATGGTATCTGCTTTAAGTTGTTCTTAACTCCGTAAGCTTAGAGGTAGGCCTAGGAAGACTCAGTTTACCCCTTCAATCCATGGACCTAACCTCTCCCTTCAATGATACAGACAAGGAAGAATCTGGTCAAAGCCTTGGACCGCCACCCTAGAAAAATACACATATTCATAACAGTTTATTTACAATTTTAAGAGGTCCCAGGACCCCAAATCCAGGACCCCAAATATAAGAACACTCATATAAAGCAGAAGGATTTTGAAGGTAATTAACATCACCCGTAAAACCTGTAACTGGAAACAGTGGAAGACAACCAATGCTTCCCCTCTCCCCCAACACACACCAGTTTCCAAGCCCAGCCCTGGGCTGGGGTGGGGTAAAGAGGCAATTGGGTGCGCAAAGCCCCTTGGTGCTCCCAAAAGTTGCTTTAGAGGAGTGGCAGGGGGCTGCCCATGGAGCTATTGGTATCTGGTCCTCCCCTCGCAGGTGCTCAGAAAACACAACAATGAGAGACAGAGGAGCAAAGTGGGGTTAGAAGTTCTTTCTCTGCTTCAAGCCATACTCTGCCCCTGCAGTTGAGCAGGGACCCCATTCCACAAACAAGGTCCATCCTCACCCCATTTAGGGCGAGGTGGAGTCAGTTATGCATTGATTCCAGGAAAAGAAAATAACCTCTGAGACACTCCTGGAGTAAATGCCTCCTCAAAATCTTGCTATTCAGATGAGGCTGAGAGACCTAGATTGTCCTTCTAAGGATCATTACTCATTTTTCTTTCTCACTGGACTGTTCACAGGCCTGGCCTTGGGACCTCTGGGGGTGGCTGGTTCCCTCCGCCTACTCCCTTCACCCTTCCACCCTCCCACCCCCCACCTCTGTGCCCGGGGAATGTGTCCAGGGGATTATCTTTTCTGGTCAGTGAAGACTGGTTCCTCAAGAGTCTTGTCTTTTCACACTCACTCCTGCAGGAACACCACCCCTCTACAAGAAGGGACGATTTCCCCAAGCACAGTGTACCCCTGTTTCATAGATTTAACCTCACCTCTGGCCAGGTTCTCGATATCTTTCTCCACTAGTTGAGTTCCTGTGACATCTAGGGTGAGCCCATCTTCGCCTGGGATACAAGGGCAGGTAAGAGGGGTTTTGTTCTGGGAGAGGCCTTGGGAGGGGAGGGGTGAGCTTCCTGGTAACTGAGCTAAGTTGAGTACCTTATTTCAGACCCTTTAGAGGAGACAGTTGCAGGCATCCAGTTCTACCCACCTTCCAAGCCATTATTTTAGGTCACTCAGAGAGTGCCCCCCCCCCCCCCCCNCCCCCCCCCGCGCGCCACGGAGCAGAGTGGAACCAGGGATAATAGTCTATCTTAGGGCAGGAAATGCTCTTTGACTTGTTTTACGTGGGTGATGGTGTTCCTGATATCCTTCTAGTAAGTCTCCTTCCCTTACCCGGGAGAACCCCAAACCCACCAAGGAGGTAAGGAATTCAGGAAACCTGGCCTGACCCTTGCCCATTCTGTTTAAATGTTTATCTGCCAGCCGCGAGAGGAGAGCAAATGTTTATCCGGCAGCCCCTTAGGCTTGTTAGAAAGCCTCCCTCGCAAACTGGAGTCGGTGGAAACCTGGGCGACCTGGGGTCCAGCTCCCGAGTTGGGGTGGAGAGCGAGGGTCCTAGGGCTCACCTCGGTCTGTATTTGCCGGACTTGGCTGGGAGATACTCCTTTGGTCTGGATAGCATTTCCTCGTTTCCAAATCGTCGGCGGTCGAGTGATTGTCTTCCTTATCTGGCTCTTAAAGGCAATAAACCGAGTTTCAAGGAGAGGCAAAGAAACCGTGACCCGGATACGGCCAGAGCTACCGCGGTCGGGGCGCCCGAGCCCTAATTAAAAGCGTCGTGGCCGCCGCTGGTTCCCGGCTGTGCGCCTGGGCTCGCACCCTCAGGCTTTGGGCCAGGCACCACCTCCCCCGCGCGCGATCTGCTCATCTCCGGCTCCACGCCCCCTCCCCAGCCCCTTGGAAAAGAGCAAATCGAGCAGCCGAGCCCACCAGGGACAAGCGACCTACATCGCGCGCAGATACTGGGGCACCGCGAGCGCGCGTGGCCGCCGGGTCTACCTGCTCCGAGAACGCGGCCCAGGCGGCGACTCGCGGGGTGGCGACAGCGGGGGAGACATCGTACCGGGCTCAGGCTGCCCGGATTTCCGAGGCCCTCAGTTCATTCTCTGAGAGTCAATGATGGGTCCCGCGTGCACCTCCGCGTTGGGCTGCTGCTACCGCGCACTTCAGGGGTCCCTAAGCGCGTGGCCAAGCACCCCCACCCTCCGCCCGGACCCGGCCTGACCACAGACAACCTCTCGGCCCAAACCCTTGCTGAATAAATGAGAGAATTTGAAAGACGTGCCAGGCGTGGTTTTTAAAAGGTTTAACCCAGTGCATGAGGTATAAGTGAGCGGTATCTTTGCGATGGAGAGGGCGGTTTGTTGTTAAGTAACCAAAAGATGCAAGTTGTTGGGAGTCCTCGCTTAGATTCTTCTTTCAGTGTTTTGCTTCCCCTCTCCCTTTTTCCCTTTCCTCCTCTAGTCTTCCCTCGCAGGCCTCCGCTGGCCGCGGTCCCCCCCACCCCCATTCCATTGGCCAGCGACCTCGGCAGGGGGCGTTACCGTGGGCCTCTGGGGCGCAGAGGTAGGACGCCGCGGGCCCCAGCGCCGCCGCCGCGCTCTTCACGTGCTCGTCCCTCTCGGGCGCGTACACCTGCGGCGGCCGAGAAATGACAGGCGGTTAAGGGGGCGCTTGACCGCGGCTTGGAGCTGCCCAGCCCTCCGCCGCAGCCAGGAGAAAACCTGAAGGGGTGGCGGAGGTCCGCTTGCCCGCGGGACCCCAGCGCCCCGAGAGGCCGTGACGCACGCGGCGCAGCCTGGAGCCCTCGGAGGTCGCATCGCCGTTTGTAGTTTCCCGGTAATTGCGAGCGCCCTTGAGAAAATTACCCGAGACACAAAGCGGTTCCCCAGCCAAGGGCCGCTCAAAGCCCACCCCGCCCTCCTCGCCCGCCTCTTTTTCAGCATCTTCTCTCCCGCCCGCGCCCAGTCCCCGACATAAATGACGCCTTTCGCATCCGGCTAGTAATTCGTGTTTTAATGGACCGAATGGAACTGTACAGGTGTGCCCACCCACTGTCAAATGGCGAACGATTCAGGCTTAGCTGCATACCCCCCACCCGACCCCGCGGCCGCGGCAACCTGAGAGCCCTTCTCCCGCCCCGCACACCGTCTCGACAGCTTCCTGCCAACGAACCCTGCGGTTCCCAGGGCAGGAATTCTGAGACTGGGAAAACTACGAGCCGGGGTGCTGAGAGATTCCGAGGACCCCGCACTGCAGCTGAGGGAGAGGCCTCTGTCTCCTCGGCTTACTGGCCCATCTTCCCCGGGGCTCTGATCCCCATCCCGGAGGGCGTGCTACCCGCCCGGCCTCGTGAGCGCCTATCTCTGGCTTTTGGTCTCTCTCATCCAGACCCTTTGATTTCTACCTCTGTATGCCTGTCTCTTCCCTTCTCCCGTCAACAAAAACACAGCACACGCAGTTTTCAGGCCTGCTCCTCCCACCCCTACCGCCACCCCCGATCCTCCGAAACCCTCAGTCAGGGGTCCCAGCGAGTTCAGCTCCACAGGGCTCCCGAAGCTGGGCCTACCCAGAGCAGCCGGGGCCTACTGCTTGAACGCCCGCTCAGAACAAAATTTCCGTCCCCCACCCGGCCAGGGCCTGCCCCACAACCCAGAGCTGCCGAGGGGTAAACAAGGAGGCGCCACCAGCGGGGCGGGCTTGGGGCTCACCTTGGCCGGCGCGGGGCCCCCCAGCGGTCCGCAAGCCTCGCGCAGCTCATAGCCGCCGCTTGGCGGGCTCTTCTCCGGTTTCCGCACCATGTCGTCGGCCACCAGGTCCCCAAATGCGGCCCGACTGGCTGGGGGTAGCCCCGGACGGCGCCGGGCACGAGGGCTGCCGCCTTCTGGAGAGTCTGTGGGACCGTCGGCGCCAGACGAGGTGATAGACGGGGGTCCTGCAGTCTGGTCTCCATTCGGGCTGCCTCCGGTGCTGGGTGCGCCGGGCTCGGCCTCATCCGGGGCGCCCTCGTCGTCGGGGAAGCGGTTGGACTCCACGTCCACCTCGGGCTCGTCTGCAGTGTCCACGTCGGGGGAGGCGGAGTGGTAGCTTGAGCTGCCCTCGCTCAGAAAGTCCGGGCTCACGTAGCCGCCGCCGGTCCCTGCGCCCGGCCCCGGCCCACGGGCTGGCCCACCGCCGTAAGCTTCGCGGGTGCTACCGTAGAGCTTGGCGATGCTTTCGGCGTCCTTGACCACAGGCCGGAAGGCCGACACGTAGGAGGCTTTGCGAGCGGGCGGCGCGGGCGGCGGGGCCAGCGGGGCCAGCGGGGGCGGCAGCGCCTCGTCCGCACCGTCCTCGTCCAGTGGCCCGCGGGACAGCGCGCTGGGGCAGCGCTCCTCTGCGACCAGGCCGCCCTCCTTGGCCGGCTCGGTACCGTCCAGGGGCTCGGGGCCGCCACCTCCCGCAGCAGCCGCGGCCGCCGCCGCTGCAGCCGCCACGGCCGCCGCCACGGCTTTGGCTTGGCTCTGCGCGGCCGGATAGGGCGGCACCGGGAGGCTGCCTGCCGCCGGCCAGAACATGGGAAACGTCGGGTACACAGTGGCTGCGGCGGCGGCGGCAGCCACGGCCGCCGCGTCCTTGGCTGCGCCGGAGGGCTGGTGACCCCAGAACATGGCGCCGCCGCCCGGGCCAGTCCCCGCCCCGGGGGGCAAATGGCCGGTTCCTGGGCCGCCCGCTCCTGCCCCAGTGCCCGCGCCCCCGCCACTCCCGGGGCCTGGGCCACCCTTGGGTTCTCCTGCGCCTAACACAGGGTCATCCTTTTTGGGGCAGAGACCAAAGGCCGTGGGGAAGCCGTAGGGATGAGGGAAAAGCGGTGGGGGCAGCTTCTGCAAGAGGCCAAAGCCCTTGCTGGGCACTGGGATCACAGGGTAGCTGCGGACCCCGGCGCCGCCACCAGGCCCTCCAGGGCCCGCGGGGCCACCAGCTCCCGCCGCCAGACCAAGTCCCCGCTGCGCGTGAGGAGGCGGCGGCCCGGGAGGCCCGGCGGCCTCTTCCTCGCCACAGCGCAGGCTTTTGTGCGGCGGCGGACCTGGGGCCATGTCTGCGCCGCACCCCGGGCCGCCCCCGCCGCCGCCGCCGCCGCCAGGACCCCCCTTCCCCTGTCCACCCGACCCTCCGTTAGCGCCGCCGCCGCCGCCTCCTTGCAGCGAGAAGGTCCGCTTGCGGGTGCCACCATTGAACATGGCCTTGACGTCCTCCCAAGCGTGGCTCAGTTCGTCCGTGGCCGACTTGTCACTGAGTTTGAGGTGTCGGCGCCACGAGTTGAAGTTGGCTGCGTCGGGCTGCGTGTACTTGGCGTCGGGGGTGCGGTGCGAGTGGAAGATGAACTTGTTCGGCGAGAAGTACATGTTGCAGTAGCCGCACTTGATGCACTTGGCGCGTGAGCTGTTGTAACGCGCGGGGATGAAGCTGCCGCGCGAACCCCAGGCACACTCGTGCACCACATCGAAGGCAAAGTTCTCGGGCAGCTTGGGCGGCTTGTGCTCGCCGAGGAACGACTTGCACAGGCGTTCGGCCTCACGCTTGGTGATCATGCCGCAGCGGCGCGACGAGATAGGCATGGCCCCTGCCCGACGCAGAATTTCCAGCTGCACCGGTGTGCACTGCACGCACGTGATGCCCAGGGCCACGCGGCGGTTGTGGATCTCATTGTAGCTGTAGTTCTTGAGGAGGGTGTTGGAGATTTGCGCCAGGCATAGGCGCTCCTGGCCGTCGATGACCAGGGACACGATAGGCACCCCGTACAACGACGTCTCGCCCACCTGGTTGGGTTTGAGAGCGCTGGAACCCGAATAGGGCTGCAGCTCCTGCTTGGAGTTGGGAGAAGAGTTTCCCTCGCGCCCCGGCCCCAGCTGAGTGGTGAGAGCCTCCATGCCGCCGCTCCTGCGAAACAGAGAAAGCAGAGAGCCGATGAGCCATTTTCAGCGCCAACGCCACTCGGGCCCGCCCAGCAGGGCGCGCAGAGTCCGGCGCGCGGGGAAACTTGGCACCGGGGAGTCCTAGCTCATTCGCCCCCTGGACGGGCCTTTTGTTATTCAGACGCATGCTGGCGCTGGAACAAAAGCCCCCGGGGTTTGGAGGAGGAGTAGGGGTAATTGAGACCTCAGGAATGCCTGGGTAGCTGGGAACCCGATCCTGTTTTCGGGCTGGGGAGGAAGTGGGGCCCAGAGACGGAGAGTGACTTGCCCAAGGCCACACAGCAAAGCCATTGCCAAACCCAGGCTTCCTGGTGCCCAGATCCGTAAGACTTCGGCCACCCTCGCAGCCTGCCCTATCCGTCCGGGTCCCGAAGCTCGGACTTCGGGGACAGGCCGCCCCTCTGCTCAGCCGCGCATGCACGCGGGCGGGGGCAGCGCGGGGAGGAATAGGGAGGGGGAGGGGCGGTCACTGCCCGTCTCCAGACAGCAGGGGGCGGGGCGGGGGGTGGTAAGGAGAAGGAGGAGGGTCTAGAGGCCGTGAGGGAGGCGGAGAGAGACAGAGACGACCGCTGTTCGCGGTGCTGAACCCGACTCTCTCCAAAGCTCGCCTTGAGCGCCCAGCCCTGGAGTTGCCCTCACTGCACCCAGCTTCGTGCAGTTGGCTCCCCAGGATAACAGCACCGCTTTCCCCAAACACAAGCTTTTCCTCTTACACCCGGAACCCCGCGTTCGTTGAGCAGAAAGATTCCGGCTGGAAATATAAACCGTTTTCTTTCCAGCCTTCGGTGGGATCCGGGTCAAGCAATTCCTAATCACATTTCCTGCATTTTTAAGCTGCGGTCCAGACCCAAGCTGGTTTCCCTCCGGGTCAGCACACGGGACGAAGAGGTTCTCAAGGAAGTTTCTCAGAAGCCACTTCTTTGCCTGTAGCTGCCCGCTGCCTAAGTTTTCCTCCTTCAGATATACCTTTCCCACTAAGGCCAAAAGCAGTCTCTAGGTTCTGAGCTTCCTCTTTGGGGGACATCCTTTTTTTTTTTTTTGAGTATCCTTCATGCGGAGTTGTCCTGACTCATACGGGTTGGGAGGAATCCTGACCCGTCTCTGAAGTCACCCTAAGGCTCCAGGTCAAAAGTTACTTCTGGTTCCAAGCTTTACTCTCTGGCCGAGGCAGGGAGGCAATCGCTCTGTGGACAGCGGCAGCAGGAAGGACCCGGGGACTGATGCTTGGGGCCCCCTAGATGGCTCAGCCCAACCACGTGTCCTCAGACAGGGAAGGCTCTCACTCGGCCCACGGCTGCAGGCAGTCCTGCGGCCCAGACAGCCCAGTCCTGAGGGTTCCTCCTCTAAACTCAGCAGAAACTGACAAATCCATTTTCAAAGGGCAGCTCCAGCCAGACAGGGCATCTGAGCTCAAAAGCATGGGATCTTCTCTCTCTCTGTCTCTCTCCCTCCTTGATCTGTCGATCTATCTGTCCCTGAGCTGTCTGTCTCTCCCTGCTCACTCCTCTTTCTCCCATCTGTCTTCATATCTTCTTCAAGTTATCAAGCTATTTATCTGTTATCTATTTCATCTTTATCTCCGTGGATCAAACTGAAACTAGTTGACCCTTCTTTTGCGTCGAAATCCCTTGCAACATTTTAGGAGGCAAAAGCACTGTCCTAACTCCTCGGCTGAGGGATCAGCAAGAAAAACCCTGCATCCCCCTCCCGAAGGGGCTTCGGGCAGGCTAGGGAGGTGGAAGGGGGGGTGCCGCTGCTCTGGGAAATGAAGATGTCTTCTCGGTTTCCCGAAATCGGCAAGTGTGCCCTGCCCGCGTGCAGTGAAGGGAGAGCCCTGAGCCGAGCGCGTCTTCTCCAAGCGGAGGGTCTGGAGTCCCCTCGGGGTCTTTTCGAGTGGGAGGAGGGAACTCCGGACCCCGGAACCAGGAGAAGGAAGACCCTAGGAACGGAACCGAATTTCAAAAGCCAGGGCAAAGGGCTGTGCGCAGCGACAAGGAGCTGCGGCCAGGGCGGCTCTGGGAGCCCTTGCCGGCTCCTGGGGCTTGAGGGGTGAGATTGGAGAGGGCGATGAGGCGGGAGTCAGGCAGCGCAGAGTGAGGCGATGGAGTCTTGAGGTATAATAATAAAACAACCACAAGAACCCAAATCGGAACTAAACGAAAAAAGCTGTAGAGACACGGCGCGGGGTCAGCCAGCTCCCGGGCGCGGGTACTCACCGTGCGGCGGCGGCTGGAGCCGGGCGAGCGGTGAACGGAGGTGCGCGGCGGGCGGAGCGGCGGGCGGGAGTCGGGGATCCGCCGGGCTCTCCGGGTGACGGCGCGGCCCCTCCCCGCGCGCGCGCACAGCCGCGCTCCCGGGCTCCCCGCTCTCACAGCCGCGGCCCCACTGGCCCCTCCCGCGCGGCGCAGGCTCTCAGCAGGCGCAGGGCTCCAGGGTCCCGGGCAGAGAGATGTGTGCCCTGTGAGGTTGTCCCTGAGGCCCAGGGCGGGCCCGGCGCGGAGGCCGAAGCCTGGAGAGCATAGCGAGGCGACTGGCAAGGCGCGGGGACAGCCCGAGTGGCGAGGCCAGCGCGGGGCGGGCGCGCCTAACATCTGCGATCCGGGGCGCCACACCCACCGCCCGTACAGTCACTCGCGCCCTCCCGGGGTCCGATAGCTAGCCCGCGGGCCACGCGCCTGGCCCCGCCGCCTTCCCGCAGCTCCCAGGTCTGGGCGCCCCAGGTAAGCGGCCACACACCTGTTCCCTGAGCCCCGCACCTGCAGCCCAAGCTCGCTAAGGGGGCCGGGAGGAAGGAAGGGCCCGGGGCCACAAAGTTTGCCCCCAAGAGCAAAGTGAGGGAGGGCACAGCTCTCCAGGCTAAGGGGCAAGGAGCTAGACCAAAGGCTAAGGCAGACTCAAGGAAAGGGCTCGAGAATGCATACCGCACTCTCGGGCCAGGAAGGTGACCCTGGGAAGCCGGAGCAGAGATCAGGGTGTGAGGTGCCAGGGGATAGTAAGCCGGAAAGGGGCAGAACCAGCTCGCCCACGCTTCTGACTTGGATGCAGTGGTGTCAGGACAGCCTCCTCTCTCCTTCACTGAACTGTGGACTCAGGGACTGGGTTTAGGGGGGTCCTGGGCCTTTAACCACCACCACGCCCCCCCAACTAACACCAACCAGCCCAGGGCAGGAGCCAAGTCATCGCTGGGTGATATCTGGGGTCAACTACTAGTTGAAAGCTAGACCCCTCCCTAGCTCTCCTGTTAACTCAGTTTCCCGGTGGTGGGGTCTAGCCCCTGATGCTGCAGACCCTCCCTGGCATCTTCTCTCTTCGAAGAGCTCCATTTCTTTCCACCCCCTCGCTTTTCTGTCGATGTCTGTCTTCACCGTTCTTTCCCCTCCACTAACTCAGGAAGTCCGGTTTTCTCCCTCTCTCAATCTCCGTCTTTCCTTATTTGAGTTACCAGTCGCACTCCCTCCCTTTTTGCCCGCACCCGGCCACCCCCTTGGCCCCCACCCCTCTGTGGCATTAAGTGTCCTTAATGGACACGTTAATTAAACTGTAATTAATCATACTGTCCAGTCCAAGTTTGAACAATTACCCTAATCAAACAGAAGTTAATAATGGCAGGCATGGCCCGGGGCGCGGCAGGCTGCCCGCGAAGGGGGCGCAGCGGCCGCGGCAGCTCCTGACGCGGGCAGCAGCGGCGATCGCAGCCAGTCCTTGGAACCCGGGCGGTGCCATAAATCTTCCGCGGCCAGCGGCGCCGGGCCGCCCTCGCCCCCGCCCTCTCGCAATGGGTTTCAGGCCCTCTCCCCTCCTACACTCTGGCTCCTCTAGGGTTCATCTCCCCTTCTCCTGCACTTCTTCCCAGTGATTTTCTCGTCTTCGCGGGCTCGCAGGGGTCTTGGGAAAGGCCTCTGGGGGTGGGAGCGGATCGCCCAGGCCTACCCTCGGAGAGAGGGGGCGGCCAGGCCCTGTGACTGGCTTGCCACCCGCTTCTCGCGTGTTTTCCGGGGCTACGAAACTACCCCACCCCAAGCTTGAGGGCTTAGTCTCTGCTGCGGGGTCTCTTCTAGAGGGGTTCTTGCTCTTTCACCTTTATCAGCTCCTGCCTTTCTCTCTCTCTCTCTCCGGTATTTCCTTGCCTTTCTCTCTTTCCTCCCAGAGCTCAGCCCCCTTTCTCTCTCCAAATCTTGTCCCTCCACTAGCGCTTCTTTCCCAGGCTCTACCTCTGTCCCGCTCTAACTCTGTGGATCTCTACCCCCGCTCCCCCCACTCCTCTTCCCTCCAAGGAAAACAGGAACCTATTTTCTGTCCCAGTCCAAGAGCCGCCCCCCAGACTCCACCTCTCATCCCCCTCCCTAGGCCGGCCTCCTCACCCCATAATTACAATCCCGTTCGGTAATTATTCTTAGCCTCCTAATGATTTTTTAAAAGGCATCTCAGTTTTCGGTGTGATGGTGACAACGATCCTGGAGCCCGCATGCCCTCAGGGTGGTGGGGGTTGGAGTGGAAAGACGGTGGGGAGGATCCCCTTGAGCTGGGCCTGTCTCTCTTACGTCTATTGTACTGCGATGGGCAGCAGTGCCTCTGGGGACGGCCTCCAGGGCACTCCTGGCCGCCGGGCCGCGCGGTCCCGGGGGACTTCTTAGACAAAAGTTCCCTTTGCGGATGCAGCACCGTGGGGTGCGGGGGAAGGGGATGCAAGTTGACCCCTGCGTCTCCGTTCAGCACCAATCTGCGGACAGCTCCCTGCGCCCTCTCAGACTTCGAAGACCCACCCTGCCCTTCCACCGGGTCTGAAGCAGAGAAAGACTTAAACACGTGTGGGCAGAGGCTGGGGAAGCGGCGCCGTTCGCTTAAGAGATGGTAATCTCCGAGGAGGGGTCTTGGGGTCGGGCCTGGACTCTGCGCTGGATCAGCGTCCAGTTGGTTAGTTAGTATCACCGCAAAGAGCATCTCAGTTGGCAGAGCCCTTTCTCCCAACGACCCTGGGAATAGGTAAAGATCATTTATTCCCATTTTACAGGTAGGATATCTAGGGTCAGGCAGTGGAAGCCAACTCACCCAGGCTCCTCAGTCAATAAGGGATGCAGACTGATCTCCCAGACCCCAAATATCGTGTCTTGCATGCTGCCTAGAGGGCCTCGTTTAATGAACGGAAGACAAGTACTGCGCAGCTCACAGGGAGCTTTTAGGGTCGCCCTCACAACTCTCCGCCAGGAGGAAAACAGGCCTAGCAAAACCAGGTGACTTGCTCAGACGCAGGCAGCCAGTGTGGGGCAGCGCTGGGACTTGAACTCAGGCTCAGACGGGGGAGGGCGGCATCCCTCTTGCTCAGAGCGAGCTCTGAGTCCTGCAGCTCAGGCCAGCGCCTGGGGAATGCGCTGGAGTCAGTGCCCTTGGCGTTTCTGACCCCCACTGGCGCGGATTCTATTATACCCACTGCTGGGTGCACCGGGGTCGGAGGGCCGGGATCAGGGACGCGCCTGGCGCGCACCCCACCAGCCCCCGCCAGGTCCTTGCTGCCTCTGAGTCCCTGGCGTTGCGTCCACGCAGCCGGGCGTCCCGCGCCCCTTCCAGCTCCGTCTTGGGCTGGGCGGCCGCGCCTCCTCCGCAAGCACATATCTTTTACCAGTTGAATTAACGGCAGTTTTCGTCAGTTAATTAGGTTTAATTTACATAATTAGTACAGTATAAAGAGGATTGGGGATAATCATGGGGTACGTAGCGCTTACTGTGTAAACACGTATTCTGAATTAAAAATCAGATGTAATTAAGGCGCGCAGGCCCTGTTTAGGCAGGGTTTTAATTGTAATGAATTTCTAATTAACACTCAATGATTGCCAAATGCAAAGGGCTGTAAAATTTTCTTGTAGTTTTGCTAATTTATTGTTTACTTAATATCTGGATATTAATCCGACGGCCAGATAGACCCTAGCCCCGCCCGGCGGCCAGCTCGAGCCAATGAAGGTGGCTGGGCGGGTGGGGCCTGCTGGCCGCATCGGCGAACAGAGGTGAGGTCGTGGGGGAGGCCAGCAGGCCGCAGAGCCTGCGCGAAGGTGCTCAGACGTGTCCACCCGGCTCCGTGTGAGGACAGGAAGACTGAAGCTCCCGAGCTGTGGGGGCGGGACAGGCCGGAAGCCACACACTCTGGGTTCCTGCGGCCCAGACCGGGTTCTTGGGGATCAGAGGCCAGGCCAGCACTCCTCCCAACGAAGGACTCTTGGGGACATCAAAAGCAGGGAGGAAGGTCTCCATCTAGATCCAATTCTTCTGAGCACTTGAGTAACCATGGACCCTGACTTGGCCTCAAAATGTGCATCTGTAGGATGGGCACACTGGCACTGAAGGTTTGACTCGGAGGCCCAAGAGCACTGAAGAGGAACGTCTTTTTTCCTGGAGTCCTGAGGGGATGGGACCCTGCTTGAGTGTAGGTGGCTCAAGCTTGGGGAAGGGGCAGAGCCAGGAGAACTTTAAATGGTATGAAGGTTGCAGGGTCCTGCTCTGCCCACTCTGGGGCTCTCTGCACTTGGGGACGAAAGTTAGGCTGGGAGGGACTGAGGAGGGAGCCCAGGACAGACTTATTTCCCCAACTAGACATAGAGATCCCCAAGGCCTGGACAGAGGTGTTCTGAAAGAGGAAGGGTGAGTAGTTCAGCTGGCTGCAGGACTCTCCCTCAGCCCCAGATCTCTAGTTTGATTCCCAGCTGCCTCCCCTATGTCAGCCCCAGCTTGGCCCCAAGTCTCTTCCCAAAGTTCTTAGCACAGGGGAGACTCTGTAGACACTTCAAAATTTCCTATCAACCCAAGGAATACATAGAAAGAAAATTCAATGGCCCCTGGGGGTTTTTGCCCCATAAAACAGCTTACCTTGTTTTCCCTCCCCTGTGCCTGTCTTTCAGAAGCCTCAGAGACCTCTCCTGGACACTACACTGAGCCTCCTCTAAGCCTGTCTGCTTGCTTGGATCCCTCACTCCTGTCTGTCTGATGCTATTTTGTTTTCATCCTTGGATTGTTCACTGGTTAAAGTTCCTGATTTCTTTGTGGGTGTCTTCTGTCTCTCCCACTGGAATGTTGTTTGCTGTCGTATTGCCAGGGCTTAGAACAAGGCCTAGTACATAGCTGGTGCTCACCATGTTTGCTAAATGAATGAGTGAACAGCATTTGAGTGGAAAGGCTGTGAGCTGACTTGTTGGCCATAGTGATGGAAGGGTGCCCTTGGTGTCTAGTGGCCAATCTGGTCCTTCAGGGAAGAGTTGAAGGTTCTGTGCTCTCTGGTGATGTCTAGGAGGATATTGGGATTCTCACCTCCCACACAGATTCAGGCAAGGCTTTTCGCAGAGCCTGTGAAGGATGAAGGCTGCTTCTTGTAGAAGGAGGAAATGGGCTCTGGGAGGCAGGTGGGGAGCTGCTGGTAGGTTTTCTGAATACTTCTGATAACAAGGGTTTCCTTCCCAGGGCCTCCTCCACACAGGATCTGGGGAGGGCTGGGAAGAGAACAGACTCTGGATTCAGCAAGGCTTGGGTTCAAATCCTAGGTCTGCTCTGGTTGAGTCTCTGAACTTGCATCTGTGAAATAGCTCCTGGCCTTACCGGGTCAGGGCTATTCAGGGTCTCACGAAGATGTCATAAGAATTAAATAAGGTGCTGAGTGTATGGCACATAGCACAGTCTTGGACCAGACTGAGTGCCTTGGGTGCACCATTTGAGAAGGGATTCACTCTTGGGCTCCTGAAACTCCTTCTCACAGTCCCAGCCCTGCGCAAAGCAGATGGCACAGAGTAGGTGCTCAGCCTCTGTGAGTTCCCTTCCCCGACAGCCTCAGATCAGTTCTGGACAATCGCCTGAACCTTGGTGGAGTTCAGTCTGCTTGCTGGGACAGGTTGAGCTTTATTGAGATGTCATTCACATACCATATAATTCACTTAAAGTGTACAATTCAGTCCTTTTTCATATCTTCAGAGAGTTGTGCACCACCACCACCATCAATTTTTAAAAACAGTTATTTAACTTATTTGGCTGTGCCAGGTCTCATTTGCAGCATGTGGGATCTAGCTCCCTGACCAGGGATCGAACCTGGCCCTCCTGCATTGTGAGAACAGATTCTTAGCCACTGGACCACCAGGGATGTCCCACCACTATGAATTTAAGAATATTTTCATCACCCCAAAGGAAATCCTGTACCCATTAGCTATCTTCCCATTTCCCCCAGACCCTGGCAACTACTACTTTCTGTTTGCCTGTTCTGGACTTTTCATGTAGTTGGAAATGTACAAAATGTGATCTTTTGTGTCTGAATTCTTCTGCTGAGCATATTTTTAAGGTTCATCTAATGCAGCAGCATCTATCATTACTTCATTCCTTTTTATCACCAAATAATATTTCATTGTATGGATATCCTACATTTTGTTTATTCATTCACTGATGAATATTTTCATTGTGCCTACTTTTTGACTATTATGAATGAAGTTGAAGTGAACACTAATGTACAAGTTTTTGTGTGACTGTATGTTTTAATGTATCTCTTGGGTACATACTAAGCATAGAATTGTCAGGTCATATGGTGAGTGAGTGACTGAAGTCACTCATTGGGGTCCGACTCTTTGTGACCCCATGGACTGTAGCCTACCAGACTCCTCTGTCCATGGGATTTTCCAGGCAAGAACACTGGAGTGGGTTGCCATTTCCTTCTCCAGGAGATCTTCCTGACCCAGAGATTGAACCTGGGTCTCCTGCATTGTAGGCAGACGCTTTACCCTCTGAGCCAGCAGGGAAGTCCTGGTTATCTGGTAATTTTATGTTAATCATTTTTAAGGAATCACCAGACTGGTTTTGCAAAGCACTGCACCATTTTCATTCCTGCCAGTGATATATGAGGGTTCTGGTCCCTCCACATCTTTGATAGTACTTTTTATTATCTATCTTTTTTATTATCCATTCTAGTGGGCGTGAAATGGTATCCCGTTGTGGTTTTGGTTTGTATTTATCTGCTGAGTCATGGTTTTGAACATCCTTTTCATGTGCTTATTAGCCATTTGTACATCTTTTGAGACACGTTTATTCAGATCCTTTGCCCATTTTTCAACTGGATTGTTTGCACTTTTATTATTGAGAACATTCTTTATATATTCTAGAAACAAGTCCCTTATCAGATACATGATTTGCAAATAACTTCTTCCACCCTGTGAGTTGTCTTTTCACTTTCTAATGGCTTCTTTTGAAGCACAAAAGTTTTTAATTTTGATGATATCCAATGTATCTATTTTATTTTTTGCTACTTGTGCTTTTGGTGTGAGAACTGAGAAGGCTTTGCTGAGCCCAAGATCATAAGGTTTACTTTTATATTTTCTTCTAGGAACCTTATAGTTTTAGCGCCTACATTTTTGTCTCTGATCCACTTACAGTTAATTTTTGGTGTACAGTTAATTTTTTTGTGTATGATATGAGGTAGGAATCCAAATTTATTCTTCTGCATATGGATATTCAGTTTTCACCATTTCACCATTTGTTGAAAATATTATCCTCTCCCCATTAACTTGTCTTGGCACCCCACTGGATTTTCTGGCCTGGAGAAATGACTATCTTCCCTTCCCCAGGAGAGATGGGGCCTCCCCAGAGAGGGGCCCCAGCCAGTCTATTTCTAATCTTCACAGTAACAGTAGATATTGTCATCCTGCACAGTAGATATTATCATCCCTGTTTCGCAGTTGAGGAAACTGAGGCCCCAGAATACAGGGACTAGCTTGTCTTGATTCCTACCATTTCCCCAGCTCCCGGAACACAGGAGGTGCTGAGTAGGATCTGATGAATAAACAGTGTCTCCAGAGTCTGAGCTGGGCAAGCTGGAGCGTTCACAGAGGTCCTGGGAGAGTCCCCAGTCCCTGACACTGAGATAACTGAGCGCTGTAAGGGTCACCCTCCAGGGGTCAAGGAGACCAGAGCACTGAGCTCTGCGG